TGCTGAAAGAAACCCCAAATATTTCACCCTGTGGGGTGCAAAGCGCAGGGCCAGTGCGGATGGGCAAGGCAGAGGAGGACACACCGGGAGCGTTCCCCTTGCCGGGCTCCACGGCCGGACCCTGCCCCACATTATTACAAAGTGAAACAAGCCTGCGGTTCCCCCATGAAGGTTTGCTGTGGCCACGCACGCGACCACAGCAAATTCACAGCAGCCACGGCTTTGACAGCTGAAGTATTACCGGCCAGGCGGCCATTTGGAAGCTGGCGCTTTGGGGAGTGACCACAGGCGACGTCCCCAGGGATGGCGGCGCAGCCACCGTTGCCACATTTGAGACATGCCCGCCTCGGTGACGGAAACCCTCCTGGATAAAAACCTATCAATCCATCCCCACCCTCCTCCAGGCTGCCCTCCAAGGAAAGTGCTGATCCCGTCCCTCTTCCAGCTTTCCAGGGCCCATCGTCAGGGCAAAAGGAAAGTGAACTAAGCAGCGGTGAAAACCCAATTCATTTTCCATTTGCATTTAGTGCAGAGCCTGATCTTCCCCGGGCAGGACGGGGAATGGAGCTGCAAGTCCCCCAGTGACACGGTCATCGGCCAGAGGGGACACGTGTTGCCTGATGCCTACCAGCTCCTATGACATTTGGTCTTATTATTACTTTTTCTGGAGACAAAACTCCTGAAATCATGTAAGTACAGGAAAGTCTCTACTTTTCCTTGAGCAAAAAGTTGTGGTTTTACTCTCTGAACTGCAGAGAAAAGCCTAGAAACATGGACATCCTCTGGGGCTTTCATCTGAAGGTGAAGGAAAAAAAATCAGAGTTCAGGGGGGTTTCCTCAAAGATTGGCTGCATTTTTAGCCAAAATTTATGAATTCTGGGGTAATCTGACTCCCAGCACTGGAAATCCTGGTTTTTGCAAGCAGGGAAGGGCCCGGAGCCGCAGCAGGGAGGGCAGCCCGAGCTCCCGGGGGACGTGGGGCACTTACTGCCTGGTCTGCTCCCGGTTGGCGTAGGTGACGTTGACAACGGCGGTCTCGCTGTCCGTGTTCACTGCGAGCAAAAGAGGCAGAAGTTAGAGAGGCGGCGCGAACGCCAAGGGCCCCCGAAAACCGGGGGTCCCCGCTCGGACAAGTCCCTGCTGGGGCTCCCCAGGGATTTGCAAACATTTTTCTCCTGCAAGGGAGAAGAGTGTCCAAGGGCTCAGGCCACGCTGGGACTCATCCCAGGCAGCACAGACCCTCCTGCCTTACGCAAAGGATCCCGGTACGCCATTGCGCTCTGCAGCAAAGCAACCAAAGCCAAATCCATCCTGCTATCCTTCACCAGAGCCCAGGGACGGTCCCAGGAGCTCCTCTGAGCCCTCCTTTCCATTTCTAGGAGGGTTATGGTAACTCTATTCTCATTAAACATCCCGGGGGCAATATTAAACCTCCTGTCTCAACTGATCGCCATTAGAGGCGGAGATAAAATCTGCTGAGCAGAGACAGATCGTCCCCGGCCAGCCTCGGGAGAGCATCCTGCACCTTCCCCGGCGCGGCTGCTGTGGGTACCCACGTGTGCGGTGAGAGCGACTCCGACGCGGCGCCTGAGGCGGGGACGCCCACGTGCGCTGCCCAAAGCCACTGCACGGGACCTGTCTTTTAGCAATAGGGAACAAAAAATAGCCCCAGAAACCAGGCTGAGACCTCTTGACATCTTTAGCCATGGCTCCTGCTGACAAAGGAAAACCACGTGTCCATCCTCACCCTCCTCTCCCCCAAAAATAGCTGGGGCAGAAAATATCTTAAATACAGCTTCTTTTTTCAGTCCTACCTTGCTCGCAGTTTTCTACAGTGCCATACTGGGCTAGCAAACCATCCAGAACCTGGAAAAGGGAGAAAAAAAGCCACTTTACACTGGGAACGTCAGGACAGACCAGGGAAATAGAATCAATCAATAAAGGCAGCTTTCTAGTCATTAAGATTTCACAAGCAATTAGACGAAGGAAGCTCCTGCCTGCCCCAGGACGCTGGACCAAGGGGCCTCGGAGCCAGCTGGGGTGGCGGG